GCAATAATAAGATGAAAGTATCACGAAATTATTTGAATAAACCACATCGCATATATGGGGGCGAATGTCCTAAAGAGGGGCGATATTCCTAGGGTATTCGCCCCACTCCCTGGGAGGCGATATTCCTAGGATATTCGCCCCCGGGGGCAATATTCCTAGGAATATCGCCACGTTTTGAGGGGGGGGGCGAATTTCCTGGGGGGGCGACCTTTTTAAAAATTCTATCTTGCTCCCCCAAAATTTGAGTTTGCCCCTCAAATGCCCCCCCCCCCAAATTTGGAAGCCTGGCGCCGCCACTGGTTATGAGCAGAAATACTCAACACTGAACGTTGGGCTATATATCAAATTGAAGCTATTGAGAAACGCTATTTGGTGTAGAAATTTCAAGACTTTAGCGAAAAGGGAAATATTGAAAAACTACAAACATAATTACCGATAATTTGCCGTTTTGCAGTTGTTTTTGTATTTTTTAAATATTTTTCTTTTCGCTGAAGTCTTGAAATTTCCACACCGAATAGCAATTTTCAATAGCTTCAATTTGATATATAGGCCGACGTTTGGGGTTAAGTATTTCTGCTCATAACTCAGAAAAACTATTTTGGCTTCATCAAATCATAGGCCTTCATCATAGCAGTTAGCCTTCCAGATTATTTATAGTTCAATGATATATATGTACTAGGTTTCCCATAGGGTAGTGAGTGCTGCCTAGTGAGAAAACAACCTAGCTCCGTACTGCCGTACAGGATTTTCCCAACCGTATGCAAAGCTTTATATCAGCTCTTGCTTACTGCTCCAGTGTCCGTCGCCAAGGATGAGCGAACTTTCAGCAAACTGAAGATTGTCAAGAACTGCATGCCTTAGGTCAACTATTGAAAGACAAACGTTTGAATGACTTGATCCTACTGGCTTGTAAAAAGGATCTCACGGACAATATTGATTTGAACGTTGTACTGGACACTTGGGCCACAGTTAAGATGCGCAAATTTCGAATAAAGCCAACGAAATAAATAGTGTTAACATTCAATTACATACGAGACAATAGCGTTGTAAAGCTAAAACGTCAAACAAAATGTTAGCTGTTATGTTACATCTTTCAATTCCATGTTTTCCATCTTTTATCAGCATTAGATATAACGGGTACATTGCAACCGAAGTGGTGACAAAAATCAAATATGTTTAATGTTTTACCTCTAAAATTGTTTCTTATTATTACTCACTTTGAAATTTTGCTATTCGTATACGTTTATTTTGTTTAAGAATTTGAAAATTGGAAACAAATTATATAATTTTGATAAGCTACCAATTTGATGAACAGAACAGTACAGATAGCAATATATTCTCGTTGGGAATAAAACCCGGTCCCATAATACTTGTTTCAAACGCTGTGTATATAAGAGTGATAATAGGAAATAACGTAGGGTATAGTTATACATTTTTCAGTTTTCACTCTTTGGTTGAAAGTCATATACAGCTATTTCAATTAAGGTTGTCCCCCGAGCAAAGCGGAAAAGTCGAACACGAGCGCGAAAGGCCAGCAGCCTTTCGCGCTCGTATTCGACTTTTCCGCTTTCCTAGGGGGACAACCTTAATTGAAATAGCTGTATATGGTATATAAAATGTCAATGGACTACACCTACAACAATTTACCATACATCTCCTCCCCCCCCCCCC